TATATTAGAGTAAGCTTAGTATATCGGACTTAATAGTAGATCTAGAAGGATATTAAAGACTTAACTTCTATATATATTAGAGCCTATTTTAGAACTTAATAAATATTTTTAGATAAAAATTACTAAATTTTATTAGATAAATATAGAAATAAATATAGATTTAGGAGATTATAATCTATTATATAATAAAATACCCCTTTATCTTAGGGCCTCTCCTTAATTTAATACCTTAAATTCTCCTTTTTCACTATTACCTATTCTTTCGCTATACTACGCCTTTCTACTCTGATTACCTCGCTAATAAGGTCTCTTACTAATCCGGAAACCGAGGTACTAGAGACTCCTACTCTATCTATCCTATTACTAATCCTTAATAGTACTTTAATTTATTTAAACTAGGCTATTAATTAGAGAGACGAAGTAGAGCTACCCCCTCTCCCTAGGCTAGGGTAATCTATTCCTTAGTAAAGGCACCCCTAATCGATTATCCGGATAGGATTTAGGCTACTACCTTAGCCTTAGGCCGAAGATTAGCATAGGAAGCTTCTATAGTATCGTCGGATTACTTTAAAATAACTAAAAAGTTAGCTAACTTTACCTAAGAAATATAGATTAAGGTAGAGAAATAGAAGTAAGTCTTAATTAGCTTAACGTACTTCCTAGGCGAGTAGACTACCCGGGCGAGTAGACTACCCTATAGCGACTCGACGTATCGATATATTTAAGATACGATAACTCTACCTACTAGTATAGAATCGCTTTCTATTAAAGAGTATATTTATAATACGATCTAGGCTTTTAAATAAGCCTTAAATTAAAGTATTAAGTTAATTATAAAGACCTTCGACGTTCTACGAATAATACTTAATCGACGACTTAATAGGACTTACGCTTAATGCGATATAATACCTAACTCTCGACGATTAAACGATTTAGAAGAATCTAAGATTCTTTAATATATAAAGAAGCTCGAGTTATAAGGATTCCCGCCCTAGCTAGCCTATATAGTAGATATAGCCGATCGATTACTCTACGTATACGCTAATAGACGTATTAGAAAGAATTAGATTATATCGTTTATTAAGCGATATTTAGAACTTAAATCGAAATACTATCGCGTCTACGATTATAAGAGAGCTAAATATAAAGATCTAACGAAAATTCAGGATTAATTTCGGCTCGTAATAAATATAGTTACGAAATATAGCGTAATAGAGTCCGATATCTATAATTTCGACGAGATTAGGTTTATAATAGGCGTTCTTCGTATTATAAAGGTTATTACGAGTATAGAAAGGTCTTTAAAACCTTAATAGTATAGCCTAAGAATAGGGAATAGGTTATAGTTATTTAAGGTATTAATACGTTTAGCTATATAATCCCGCTATTTATTATTATTATAAATAAAACTTAACTCGAAAGCTAATATCGAGATAGCCTATTATTATTATAGACGATTATTATAATAACCGAAAACGGGTAGATAATAAACGAAAGAGGCTAAGAATAAATTAAGTATTTCGATCTTTATATAAAACTATAAATAGTTAATATATTTCGTATCTTTATCCTTAATAAGTACGAAAATTATTATTTTAATAAATTCTTTTAATATTATAAGAATAATAATATTATACCTCTTTATATATTTATTTATTTATTATATTTACTCTAGCTTCTCGACGTTACTTATTTCGGATTATTAAAGGCTTCTTATAATAAGTAAATCGAGATAATATTATAAATAGGTATATAATATATTACTAAAAAGGACTTCTTTATTATATTTTCTATTATATTTAAAGAGACTTTTACGGAAAAAAATATATAAGCGGGCTTTCGGGGTATTAAGCTTATTCCTTATAACCTAGATTATATTATTTCGAAGTTAATAATAATATAGAAGATTCTAATACCTCCTAAGAGTAGTATTAAGTTACCCGAACCTTAAGTATTAAAGATACTTAATAACCCTATTAAAGCTAGTTTATATATTAATTATATTATTAATCGGATTAAGAGATATTAAGGAAACTCTTTAACGTTAATTATTAAAGCTATTAAGTAATAAAGTAAAGTAATATAGATTATAATATATAAGTATACTCTTATTAACGAAGAGTTTAAGATTAGTTAATAGGAGTTTATAGTTATTAATAAATATCGTAAAGTTAAAAAAACCTATATATAGTATAAAGGACCTCTTACTATAAGTTAAGCTTAGGTTTTAATTAAATAGAAAGATCTAGATATAATCGTAAAGTAAGAAAACTATACGAGTAGTAGTTACTAGATATAGTCCTCCGCGACTATACTAAGGTATAGTAATTATAGCTAGCCCGGATATAATATCCGATCGTATTAAGTATATATAGATTATATCGGAGTAAACGATTTCGAGTAGAGATAAATTAATTTTTAGCGTTATAGTTAATTTCGTAGGGGTTATATATCGATAAGTATAATAGGGTAGTCTACTCGCCTAAGTAGTCTACTCGCCTAGGAAGTACGTTAATATATTTCTATAATATAATTAATAATTTAGTCGATATAATTATTAAGAGGCTATAATAGTTAACTAAACTTTTAATTCCTAAAAATATATTTATATAGCTTATTTATAAGATTATATAGGATCTTATAAATAAGAATAACTATCGAGTATAATCGATAACTATTCTTATACTATAAGAAGCTATAGAAGCTTAGATAATAATAGTATTTATAGCTATATATCTAGGGGTAATATATACTAAGTATACTATATTAATAAAATAAGATATTACTCTTATTTAGGAGGTAATTTCTATATTCGGCTTATAGATATAATAATCCTATAATAGCTATATACTTTAGCCCTATAGCTATAGCTTAATTTACCCTATTCCTTAAAAACCTACTTACTAGTAGACTATATCTATCTAGAGCTTTATATTAAGGGCTATAATCTTAGTAATACGCTTAACGTAGTATTAGTCTTTAACTATAATAGTCTAACGATTAGTATAAGTAGCGCCTTTAACGTAGGCTATAATAGTTAATATTATTATAGTTATTAATAGGGCTAGATAACGTACCCTATATTATTATTACGATCTACTACTTAGAAGTATCCTAGATTGTATAGAGGGCCTCCTCTCTAAAACGTATACTGCCCGAACTAGGCCTAGACTAGGCGATCTCGCGAACTAAGCGATAGAAAGGAGCCTTAGGAATAACTAAGCCGGGGTACTTCTAATAATAGGTAATCTTACGCTACTATCTATCTAGAAAGGGTTATTATAAAGCTATTATATAAGAATAAATAACTTATAACGATCTCGGCGATATACTTAGCCCGGCTAAGTAGCGATATAGGTAGCTCTTTTTATAATAGGGATATAGCGTATATTAACTATTACGCCTCTTAGTTTATCCCCTACCTTTACTTTCTTTAGAGTAGCTATATATAGACAGCTTATATTTTAACTAGGTATAGTCTTACTAGTAATAATAGCCCTACGGGCTCTACTAATAGGGGCCTTTCTAATAGCTAATTTAGCTAGATAAACGATTATTATATTAATTATTATACTAGAATTACTTTATAAAACTTATATAATATATTTAAAGTAATTATTATTATTATTATTATTATTATTATTACTATTATTATTACTATTATTACTACTACTACTATAGTTATAGTTAGATTATTAAGGTTTAGTTTAATTATAATTATTAGGCTTATTTATTCTTAAATTCGAATCTAGGTAATAGTTTAGATATTTAAATAATTTATAATTTATATTCCTTCTTTCTATTATTAAATTACCTTCTAGGAAGGAATATAGGTTTATTAGATAGCGCTACCTAGCCTCTATAATAGCCTATATTATTATATTTATATTACTATATTATATAACCTAAAATTACCTAAGCCCTACTACCTATATAGGTTTAGGTTTTCTTTTAGGTAGCCTATATAAGCCTAAAACCTATTTAGGTAGTAGAGTAATAGGCTTTAGGTAGGTTTAGGTTTTAACGCTAAGCCTCTGGGTACCTAATGGGTCAAAATCTTTGGGTATTCCTAAGCCTAATACAACTACTAAGCAAGGCAAGACATTCAACTCTGGTATCGATTGACCCTAGCAGCGCTCACGCTTAGTTAGTCCTAGTACGAAGGTCGATGTTAGAAATGCGGGCCAACTCCGAGCTGCGAAGCCAAGCAGCCGTCTACCCGCCGACGTTCGGAGTTTCGCCTCTGCATACGCACGGCACCTGTCACCTGTCGAGAATGGGTGGCGATCTCATCGTGATCTGACGCACGATAAACTTTATGAGATCTCCGGCAACGCGAACGGGAGCAGCTGACAGTTGACACGAAAAACGACCTTGCGACTCCATCTTGATGATCTTGAATGTCCGGTTCTGCTCGAGGCCAAAGATCCCCCCATGACGACCTCGTGAATGCCCGGAAAACCTACCCCCGCGATTGCTCCAGACATTGACTCGCCGAGGCTCCCGAGACGGAGAGCCTCCTCGACGAACCCGCCACGCGCTTGCGTGAATTCTGCCTACAGACGAAAACGACAGACCCGCCCGGCGGTCCACCCGAACGCGCGAAAGCTCGTCCCGGCAGACCTGCCAGGCGTTCCAGCCCTCGCCGCGGGCCCAGGACCAAGACCCGCGTCGAGCGCTAACGTCAGGTCCGGCACCTCTAGCCAGACGCTCGGAACGGGGCATCGGGAGGCGCGGGGCCTCGGCAGCCAGCACGACGGAGAATCTCTCTGCCCCGTCCGCGTACCTGTCTGGAGACGACGTCCCCGTTCTGGAAGATTTTGATTACGTCTTAGTGTCGAGCGATCCGGGCAGCCAGAGGCCCGGACCGGGAGCACTCGCTGTCCCCTAGGCGATGATGATGGCTATATAGAGCGCGACACCATGATGCGATTTGGTGTTCGGACTCTTCTGTCAGCGGTCGAACCGGGACGGCTCAGAGACGCGCAAGACGCACAACAATGCTGACGGCAGAGAAGCCCCTCGACATGGCGTCCTCCCGCACGCTCGCCGACTCGGAGAGCCAGCTCTCGCAGGGCAAAGCGGCCGAGACGAGCCCCTATGTCTGCAAGGCCCACCACGCCAACCCGGTAAGAGGCCAGCAGGCGTCGAGACGAAGCCGACGGGCACCGCCCGCGGGAGAACCGATGCTGACCATCAGGCGCAGGGCCCCCTCGGCTCGGCCGGCTTCGCCACGACGCTGATGGCGCTCTCGCTGTCGATGCTCGGCTGCCGCGACGTGTCCAACGCGACCGTCTTCATCGGGAACCTCTGCTTCATCGCCGGCATCGGCCTGCTCGTGTCGGCGCAGTGGGAGATGGTCCGGGGCAACACGTTCGGGTACACGACACTGTCGTCGTTTGGTGAGGAGCCCCCCCCCCCCCCAGTATCAGGTTCGTCTGTCAGCTGCTGATCAGACCATGGCGACAGGGCTCTACTACGCGGGCTATGGAGTGCTCCTCATGCCTGGCATGGGCGTCATCGATGCCTATGGCGGGTACACGGCGGAATACTACAACGCCTTCGGCTTGTACCTGCTCGGTAAGGACACGGCCACGATCATCACACAGCGGCATCACAGCGGAAGCGGAAGCTAACGGGCCCAGTTTGGTGCATACTCAACTCCTTCTTCCTGCTCGCCTCTCTGGCCATGTACGTCCGCCAAAGCCTCCCTCTTCCAGAAAAAAAGAAAGAAAAACAGCTGACGCGGACACCCGCCAGAAACGTCCCCAACATCATCATCTTCGCGGGCCTCGAGTTCTCCTACCTGTTCAACTGCGCCGCCCACTTCGCCATGGCCGACGGCAACACGGCCGCCAGCGCCGCCCTGACGCGCGCGGCCGGTGCGTTCGGCGCCGTGGCCGCCGCGTCGGGCTTCTACATGGTTGGCTACGAGCTCTGTCGGGACGTGTTCCCCTTTGAGCTGCCCGTGGGCGACACGTCGCGGTTCTTCGGCCGGCGGAAGCTGTGCTAGTGGGGAGGAGGGGGAAGAGGAGATGACAGCGGCGCAGGTTTCGATAGTGTTGTCTTACTGATCTACCTTACCTAGTGCTTTCGGCGGTCTTCGGTTGCCACGTTTGGTGTGATCGTTGATGTGGCCTGCGTAATCTGACCGTCGAACAAGTCATTCGACTACTTTGAAAGTTGATCCATCACTGCGCGGTAGAGGCCTTCTGTGACATGAAACATGCCGCTCAATTGAACGAGGCCATGGACTCGCAACACGCCGTACAGACAAATAACGCCATCCAGGCATCCCCCGGCCGCCGGCCAAGCCTAGTCATCATCCTCGATATCATCATCGCTCAACACCAGCCCCGAAACGCCCAAGCCGGAAACAGACACCTCGCTCACGGTGCGGATCCGCGCCGCCTTCTTCCGCGGCGACGCCTCCTCGGACGGCTTATCCGTCGCCCACGCCTCGCCGCTCATCGGACCCCCGTCCGCCTCGCCCGCCTCGTCGCCGGACTCAACGTCCTCGCCCGCCCGCTGCGTGCCGATGCCCTGGAACGACACGACCTTTTCAATGTCCCGCAGCTTGATCGAGTGCAGGCCCCCCTTGCGACCGCGTGCGATCTGCGCCATGTAGGGCAGGCGCTCGAGCAGCATCTCCCTGCGCGCGGCGCTCCCCAGCGACAGCAGAGGCGGCGCCTCGTGTGCGTCTGCGGCGCCGGAAGTGGCGTGCGAAGCCGATCCGCCACCGCCCTTAGCCTGGTGTGTCGCGACCCAGCTCCCTGCGCCTGCCGCCGACGCTGCGGCCTTGGGCTTTCGGAATGCTGCAGCGCCTTGTGTCAGGTCCTTCCGCGCGACGCTCTCCTCGCCCTTGAGCAGCTTTGTCGACCACACATCCACGAGCCCCTCAAACTCCTCTTTGGTGCGCCACAGCTTGATGCTCGTCGGGTAGAACATCTTGAAAGCATCGCTGCCCCTGACGCCGGGAGGAGTCTTGCGTTTGACGGGCGACGGCAGCGAGAACAACATGCCGCGCACGGCGACCTGGAACGTCATCTCGTCTTGACGCAGAACATGGCTGCTCGAATCCTTGCCACCGTAGCCGCCTGAGGGGCCCCGACCGCCGAAGAAAATGTCCCAGGAGGGGCTGAGGAGATCGCTGAGAGAAAGATACTCGAGGCAGCCGTTGACGTAATCGAGAGACGAGTTGGGGTCGAGAGGGCTCGGGCTTTCGCACGAGTAGAGGTAATTTTCGTGGAGCGCCGACACAAAGGTGTGCGTGTCGGTGCCCGTCTCGTCAATGAGAGCGTCGACGGAGACCTGCGAACGTTTGGGGCGGGCGTGGTGTGTCAGGTAGCTCGGTAGGATTTCAACCGTGTCATTTTTGGGCGGCAGCTCGTCCCTCTTGTTGTAGACAACCTTGCCCACGGCGTGGAAGATGCCGAGACTGGCTTCTCGCTGTGATATGAGCTCGAGGCTCTCCTCTTCGCCTTTGGTCATGGCGAGCAATTCCTTCGAGCCTCTCTTGGCTTTCGTAAAGGCAACCTTGGCGCCCCAGTCGGCTTCCTGGTCGCCCTTGAGACAGAGAAACTCCAAGGAGGAGATGGCGCTGCGAATATCGCCAATCTCGCCGAGACGCTTGAGGACAAGAGGCCCCGGGGTGCGTTTCCGGCCCGATTTCCTAGCCTCCTTGATGACGACCAGCTCGAGAGCTTTGGCAAGAATGGACGGCGCTATCGCGTTGAACTCAATCACGCCGACTCCTGGATGGCGGAGGATTTCCGGACCGAGCAAGCGATGGGCTGTGAAGCTGTCTGCTGACGCCGACGTCGTCGTCAACAGGGTCTCCGATATGACCATGACCACGGGTGTGATGGTGGCGTTTTGTGACGGTCGTCCAAAGGCCGACAGGGACGGCGTGTTCGCCGCGAGGTACGCCAGCAGGGCATTTCTGAACGACGTCAGCGCCGTCGAGGAGCGCGCAAACGTGTTGGGGAACTCCTCGACCAGGATGATACGCCGTGCGCCCTTGTCCAGCGCCTGTGTTGACGATTCTGAGCCCCCAGAACCACCATCCATCTCGAGCTGGCCAAACTTGCCGCCGCGGCCGAGAAACTCCTGAAACTGGGCCGACGCCGACTGGAAGCCGAGGCCGCCGCTCGTCGGCCCCGTGGGATTCCTCCACTCCAGGAGCTCGCAGCCCAGCTCCCGCGCCAGCAGGCGCATCGTCGTCGTCTTGCCAGCACCAGCAGCGCCCTTGAGCAGCAGCACGCGCTGCCGCAAGCGCCCAGCCAGCACATCCTCCAGCCACCGCCGCACATCGACCACCTTTTTCTTGTGCACGGCCAGCTCGTCGAGAGACACGGGGGCGAATCGCTCGGACCACGGCCTCAGGTCATCGTCGAGAGCCGCGGGGCGGCTCGGCCTCGGCGGTCGGAGGAATTTCTGGCTGCTCGAGGCCAGACCACCAGTCGTTGTTGTTGTTGCTGATGTCGTCATCGTCGACGGGCCGCCGGACGTGCCGTCTCGCGAGCGTTTCCTCGCGTTCAAGCCGACGAAGCTCGCGCTACCTGCTTTGGGCGCCACGTCATCTTCGGATATGGGATCGCTGACAATGTCATCGTCGAGGACGAGGGGCGCCGCGGGTTTCGACGGGGGCGGGGCCTTCTGTGCCTGCCTCGAGAAGAGGGCCAGCAGGTCGCCGGACCTACCCTTCTCTTCCGTCTTCGAGGTCCGTTTGGGGGCCCGTGATCTGGGCTTCACGGGGCTAGTGCTGGGGCTTCTCGTGTCGTGCTTCAGGCCATTTCTGGAGGTGCCTGTCTTTGGTTTCGTAGGGCTTGGGGAAGGTGTCGGGCGAGCGGAGGGGGGTTTCGTGGGTGATGAATTGAGGAAGTTGAGCAATGTGTTGGTGTGCTGAGGTCGGCCATGGTCTTGTTTGTTGTCGTGGTTGTTGTCGTGGTCGGGGTTGTGATCGTAGTCGTCGTCCGATTCGACATTCTTCTTACGGCGCTTTGCGGGCGGAGCCATTGCGGACGCTGGGAGTTGATCGTTCGCAGCAAGCGGCACTGGTTAGGTTTGTGATTGAGACATGGAGTCGAGCATGATACGGCAGGCTTGACGGTGCGAGGATGGTGGCAGGAGATACGATTCGGAGGTGTAGGTTGGAGGATGGCAAGGCTGACACGGGCAGGCAAGAGGCAAGGCAGGCAGAAGCAGCTCAAGATGATCTCACCGTGCTACTGGTCATGGGTGGGGCGAGCTGCTGCTGTCTCTCCGGGGGGTTGCTGTCTCTCCAGGGGTGTGGGCGCTGTATTTCTGGGGGTGCCACCCACGAGATCGGTACCTGAGATGTGCCGTGAGCTTGGTACTTCCGCTACGGTGGGCTTCTCATGCCAGAATCACCACGGACGAGCTCAATGCTCATGGCATAAAAACATCAATGAAATTCATCATGTACAAGTACGTTCCAAATGCCTCCTTAGCCCTTGACCGATCGTGACCTCGTCTTTCCCCTCACACCATTGTGCTCTTCAGACTAGCATTACTTACACTCTCCCTCGCATCTCACCCAATTCCCCTTCATGGCATCACCATCAATCAAACACCCACCCCTCAAACCCATCGACAAATGTCACAGCCGCCGCGAGATACCTCTCATGCACGTCACCCCACGTCCTCGCCGCCTCCTTCATGGCCCGGATCGCTGTCTCGCGTCAGTACCTGTGTCCTCCACGCAAGATTCCCAGAGCACCAGAGCATACCTTTGACATAGTGCGCATCGGACGCGTGCCGCGAGTGCAGCGCCTCGTGCTCAACATGCGCCCACCCCCGGCCCTGCGGCACGGGCTGCACATAGTCCTCGTCGATGCGCGGCCGGCCCATGGCGGCGTACACGGCCACCGTCAACAGCCACCATTCGCGCACGAGCGCCACGTGGAACCTGGCCGGCAGCACCGGCAGCAGGATGCGCACGGCGTGGCTCGTCGTCAGCAGGTGCACAGTGAAAAAGTTGTAGGCGTGCGTGCCCGGCTTCACCGTCGCCACGAGCAGCGCGACGGCCGCCTCCTGCGACTTTTGGAACTGCCGGACGGGGTCCTCGCTGTCGTCGTCGGCAACGGCCCAGGCGTTCCAGTACTCGAGCACGAGGTCCTCGTGCTTGCCGAAGAGGAGGTCGATGTTGTTGAAGCCTGGCGCCGCGAAGAGGCCGTCGAAGCGCGCGTCGCTGGCCATCCTGTGGAGGATGTCGACGGGCGAGGTTGACGAGAAGGGCGCCGGCCTCGTGTACTTCTTTTCGTCTAGGTACTTGTGAAGGTAGTTGTACTGGACGCACGAGAGGGCGAGGGCCTCGATGGCGATCTCCTTGGCGTTCATCTCGTAGGCATAGCCCAGGTGGATGAGGGGGTGGCCGACTGTCGTTGTCAGTGGACGGAGGGGGAGACGGAGGAAGAACGACATCAAAAACACTAGATACGGAGAGAGAGGGAGGGAGGCAGAGAGGCAACGAAATCAAGTGGACGTACGCCCGCCGATGAGCCCATGGACAAGAGGCTGGTCCCCCTTCAGCAGATAGTGCGCCATGACCGTCTTCCAGTCATAGTTGAACTGCAGGGCGAGGCCGTCCTCGAAAAAGTCGACATAGGCGCGCTGGTACCGCTTGTCGCCGAGAAAGTCCTGCCAGTCCTCCTCGATGACCTCGGCCGGGGAGTCCTGCCAGGGCTCGAGCTCTTTCGAGACCGTCTCGTACATGCTGTGCAGCTGGTTCTCCGAGGCGCCGAGGAGATACGCCGAGCAGAGAATGTGGGCGGCGTTGTTGTCGAACTGCAGGTTGTGGTAGACGATGGCGTGGTTGACGTGGTTTGCCTTGATGAGGTGCTTGAGGCACCGCGCTCGCTTCTCGGCGTCTGTCTCAACGTTATGCACCTCGACGGGCGGCAGGTCGATGGCCCGAGGGGCATCATCAGCGCCGGCGACAAGACGGCCGAGGAGGGGCACATGGGCGAGGAAGGACATGGTGAGCGTATG